AAAAAGTATGGAGCAACATTTTGTAACCTATGATCCTAACATTGAGCATGCATTACAATTTACACGCAATCTTAACTGTTGCATAGCTGGATATGAAGAATTGTATAAACAACTTAAAAAACCAAAAAAACAGCAGCTAATAACTAATTTTTTAACAACCAAAAAAAAACAATTACTATTAATACTGATGATAGAATTTTTAAGACTGTGCGTAATAAACGTGCACGCTTGTATCAAATAGCGATTAGTAATTGCCAATTTGACATTAAAGTTTGGTACAATATATTTTACTTTTGTAACAAAATAAATTTTTTTTTTTAATTAATAAGGTTTTATTTTATAAATTTTTTTACACGATTTTATGGAAAAATATTTCAAATGTTTTCGTCTTACACGATTTTTTTAAGTTGTGGAACAAATCCTCAAATTTATCATATAGCACATGTATTTTTTTAACACGATTTTTTTTTACACGGTTTTCTAAGGAACGCTTCGATCGTGTAAAAAGAGAGTTGAGTGTATACAGATACCGCCCATACCTGCGCCCAGGGTCTCTCACTATTTACTGCGGTTAGGTCTTTGTCACTATACTGCGAAAGCATGAGGGCGTTATTTTTTTTTATTTATTAGTATTCAAGATTTACGTTTTTATTAGTATCTAAATCAACGTTGCACCAGGACCATATCGGCCTCGTTGTTGCTGATGCATTGCAGAAAGCTGGCGGACGTAGCTTAGCAGTGGTGCAGGTTAACTTGTAATACCCGCATCATGGCTAACTGGGAATGCGGTTGTGTCCACCCATGTTACATCGAGCGCGCTATTAATTTCTTGAGTTCAAAAGCTCTTCTTCATCAAAGAGATAGCGCTTACCAATGCTCTCCTCAGATGCAATTAAGGGAGCTGGAGAGGAACCAGACGTAGTCACGTCCAAATTCAGTGAGTCAGAGCTGGCAGTCAGTATTTCTACTGGTGTCACTATATTTGCTGTAGCAGGTCCCATGTCGCCCACTTCAATTATGGTACAATAGTGCCTTGCGGTGCTGCCGTTTCATTAGATAAGGATTGCTCTTTGTCCTTTTTGTAAACCCTCATTATATTGGCTGAGTAACCATAGTGAATAACATCACCAGAATTGCCAAAGTGGCCAAAAATGCTTTGTCAATCACAAACTGTCTGACCTATATTTGCCCTTGAATTCCTCCAGTTTCGTGATCTTCCACGGACACCTATAGCTTCGTGATCTACATCAACTATTTAACTGGCGGTTTTCTAACCGAATAAGTTCAAGAATCCGCAAAGGATCGGAATGATGGACTGGGATCCAGGAACGCGCTCTTGGTCGGCTAGAGACTTACTCCTTAGCAACAACAATCAACAGGATGCTGATCTGCGCAGACGATAAGCTTCACATGACCCTGATGTCATCAACCCTGATACGATATGAGGAACCGTCTCCAGAAAAGTCCTTTGGGAGGTCGACATAAATGTCGAGGACCTTAAGTCAATTTGGTCCCACTTAGCAGGCGGGATTGTGCCATCCGGTCATTTTCATCAATAACTCTCATTATTATAGATCCCTTGAGCATGTTGCTAAAGGATTTGTATTTTTGATGTTACCACGAAATGTTGCCTTTTTGGCATCAGGTTTTGAAGCTGACTCATCCAATGAGCGCTGTCGCTTCGTTACAGGTTCCTGCTTGTCCTCAAAGATACTGATGCTTACTTTGCCCAGGCAATCCTGAACTTCATAGATTCGGATGTAACCGAAATATTACCGTACCTTTCACCTTTTTATTACCGTTAGAAGAAGCAGTAGGCTAATGTCGGATATTGGTCGTGTTTTCGTATTCGAGTGATTGAAGTTATATTGTAATAATAGTTCATGAACAATCATGAATATTCAATGAACAATAACTAAGCTAAATTATACAAATATTATTTTCTAAATATATAATAATTAAATAACTATAAAGTTATTAATAATTATTTCCTACATTTGGGGCACTTCCGAAGCTAAACAGAAGGAACAGTTGCTGAGAAAAGAAAAAAAATTCAGTTGTTAAAGTAGTTTGCGGTGTTAAAGTAGTTTCCTGTGTTAAAGTATTAGGTTGTTCGGAAAGTAATTTCGTTTTCTTTTGTGGAAACGAAAGACAGTTTTCTTATAATAAACAAACACTTTATTAAATTATATATTGGCCGTTCTGGTCCAACACCTTTTGCCATCTTTCTGGCAGTAGCAGTAGCTCATAAAATTTTTAGTCTTTCCTGGCAAAAAAGTGATTGAGGTGGTTTTCGACCTCCTCATTTGAGGTAAAGGTTTTACCATCTAAAAAATTTTGGAGAGATCGAAAGATAATCCGATGGCTCCAGGTCTGGAGAATATGGTGGGTGTTACATTGTATTTCATTCAAGTTGTAAAAGCTTTTGGCGAGTGACCAAACTTGTGTAAGGTCTTGCGTTGTTTTGATGAAACACTACACCTACCTTCTGATTAGTTCTGGCTTTTTCTGTTGAAGTGCTTCATTCAGTTTGTCCAGCTGATGACAGTAGACTTCCGAATTAATCGTTGTGTTATCCGGTAAAAGCTCCAAAAAAAACGATTCCTTTAAAATCCTACCAAACAAACAGCATCATCTTTTTTTTTGCGGATATCGGCTTCAGAAATGGTTTGAGCCGGTTCATCTTTTTTGCTTCATAACCTCTTGCATTTGACGTTGTTGTATACAATCCATTTTTTGTTCCCAGTGATGATACGCTTCAAAAATGGCTCATTTTCGTGACGTTTGAGAAGCGAATCGCAGACATTAATGCGGCGACACAGATTTCTCTCTATGAGAACATGGGGAACTCATACATCGAGCCATAAGCTGTTGAATTTGATAAATTTATCACCTTCATTTAGCCTTCCCGAAAGTGTTGCATCTTCGACATTAAAATTGCCAGATCGAAATTTAGCGAACCAGTTCTGGCACTGGCGTACTGTCAAAACACCTTATTCATACACATCAGTCAATTTCTTTCTGACTTGAACAACATTTTTACCCTTTCTGTAGTAAAACAGTAAGCTATATCGAAAATGCTGCTTATCGCTCTCCAAAAGGACCCTAACCTTAAACTACTACGTAGAATTAATTGAAATTTTTCAAACACAAGCCTTGCTATATGAACTCTCAAAGCATATAAAATTAAACGGCTTTAGTCTGAAGTTGGGTGCAAAAAATACAATTACATCCTCTTTCGGATAAAAACGAAATTACTTTCCAAACAACCTAATAGTTTGCAGTTGTTAAAGTGGTTTGCACTTGTTGTTGCTTTATGCAAAAAATTACGTCGAACAGTTGAAAACATTGAAAAATCGAAAATTAACACAAGCAATTAAAAATCAGTAGAATTAAATTAGCAGTTGAGCAAATAACTAAGAGCAAATTCGAGGATTTTACAAGCGGACAAATCGCTGGAAAGGAACGGGGTTTTAACAAGAGAAAAGTACAAAGAGAAAAGTTGCAGATGTTAAAAACAGGAACAGAAAACGTAAAAGTGGGTGCAGAGAAACAAAAACTGAACGAAGTAGAAATAGCAAGAAACGCGAGCAAAAGAAGTGAAGAAACGAAAAACCAAAGCGACGCAGTAGATAACAACAAGAAGCTTTCGAGCAACACACACGTGAACGAGAAAATGGCAAATACGAAACTTAAGACCTAATAGCTCATAGTAAATATACTCATAGTAAATATGCTCATAATAAAATACTCCCATCAAGCAAATACAAAAGCAAGTAAAAATGCAGATCAGATGATTCCATGTTTTACAGGAGAAACAAACATGTCAGTGTCGAAATGGTTTGAAAATAAGGAGTCGATAGCTGAAATGTACGGGGGGACAAACACACAAAAGTTGGTGTACGCGCTTAATAAGATGACAAAAACAGCAAAACTATTCGAGCAATCATTGATGGTCAACAACTTTTTCTGTTTTAAAAATCTAATGACAATGGAATTTGCACACATTTTTTCAAGCATTTCAATACATAATCAGTTACACGAAAGAAAGAAGAAAGAAAATTAAAGTGTGCACGAAAACATTTTACACATGCGTAATATTGAGGCAGCAGGGTCTGTTAAGGAGAAGTCAGTCATTCAATATGTTGTTGATTGTATAAAGGAGAAACCTGAAACTAAGATCACATTTTACGGAGCAAAAAATTATATACGAACAGATTAAAATATACGAATGCATAAACAAAGCAAAACAGACGCACAGTAAGTATCACAAACATTATGAAATGCGAAAAGAGCCTTTTTCAACCGCGGGTCAACAGAGCAACTGTACAAATAGGAGGAAAAACCTTCAAAGCAAATTAATTACACGGCAGAAGTTAAGAAACTAAAGAAAGCAAAAATTAACAACAACAAGTTTCAATGCCTGATTGACGGTTGTGTAGACATATCAATAATGAAAGAAAGAATATATAAAAAACATTTTGCGAACAGATAAATAGAGAAATATGAAGAAAATATTGAATTAGTGTTGAATTGGAACACTACATAGTGATTGCACTTGACTACGTACTTAATTATGACGTCATTGTAGGGTATGACATTTTAAGTAAATGCAGATATACATATGTCGGACGAAAATAGTTACAACTTACTTTCGGTGATTTCGAAGAAAATAAAGAAAAATAATGATGAAGAGCAAGAAATAATTGTAAAATATAATATTTCAAAGAGTGTAAAACAGAAAATAGTTAATATCAAAGAAGAAAACTTTGTAGAGTAGTTTAGGAACTACTTTTAAGAGAGTAGTTCCAGAGCAGAAAGTTGTTATAAAGAAAGATAAAAACGCTAGCAAAGCCAAATGGAAAGGAGTTGAAAAATAATAGAAAATTGGTGGCGATGAAGAACTTGTGACACTTACAAAAAGAAAACAAAACAAAAAAAGTCAAAAACAGACCATATAGCACATTTCGAAAGGAGCTAAAGATGCGTTATATAAGAGAATGAGACGTATGAACCCTGAATATCACGAAAAAGAAATTGAAAACGTGAAGCTGCAAGGTTGAAAATGTGACAACAAATGCTGCTCATTAAGATGATACAGAGGAGGATAACGAAATCAACGCTGTAAAAGTTGATGAATGTAATAATAATAGTAGAGATGAAGGTGTTGTTCCAGAAAAAATCCATGTAGATGAAGAGAATTTGCAGAAAAACAATGAGGCTGATATTTCCAATAACAAGCATAATAAAGGTAAGGAATCTAATGAGGATATGCATATTCCAAGTATATCGTTAGTAGATGCCACTCCATTGAAGAGTTGTGTTAGTAATAATAAGTACACCAAAAAAAACAAGTTGATAAAATAATCAAAAACTCCTTCAAATGTATTTTATCAAATACGAGTAAAAAGCAAGGCAAACTCTAAATGTTTTTGCACACAATCGACAAAGGAGATATACCTCTGTGAACACTACATGTAGATCATTTAGGTCCAATGGACGCTACAGCAAAGTAATATAAACATATTTTGGCAATGGTAGACGGTTTCAGCAAGTTTGTATGGCTGTATTCAATTAAGATAAGAGTGTCTTAAAAACTATACAAGATGATACAAATTTGTGGAAAATTTTGATCATGAACGCAACATTTTGCGACAAGAGGCAAAGCAGCAGATACAACTTATACGAGCCGAATACAATAAAATATTAAATACTTATTTCCTAAATATATAATAATCAAGTAACTTTAAATTAATTGATAAATATTATTTCCTACATATATATATAGTTGAATAATGATATTCAGTATAACAATATATAATGTTTCTTACGACTGGTGGGGGGAAACAATATATAATTCATGAGGCATTAATTGTAAGTCAATTTCTGCCTTTATTTAAAATTTTTTCGTCTTTTATGCAAAATAAAATGCAACCATTATTAATTTTATAGCGCAAAATACATAATAATTACTTAAACTAATTTTTTATTTAATTCGCACAAATTGCTTATTAAGCAGTAGGTGCGAGCGATTAACTTATGACCTAATTTATAATTTTTTGTTGATTCGTCAATAATAGTATTAATTGTTAACATATCTTATTTTCATCTTTGACAAGAAGTTTGACAAGAAGGCATGGGTTAATTTCATGTTAACCCATGACTTCTTTCCACCATTCGCATCTTTAACTGCTCCAACAATAGCATTAAAAATTATTGCAAGAGAGCCCCACTATTCATGAAGACTTCGCGCACCATGATTCGATACAAATCTTTCATAAGCGAAATCTTTATGCTGTTCAATATGCTTGACCAGTGCTTGTTTCTTGTACTTACTGATGCGTTTCATCCTTTTGTCCACCACGATTTTCATCATACATATCTGAAAATTAAATAAAATTAAAGGCATATATATAATCATATATTCTGTTCACTGTTTCACTTGCAATTCAATTTATTTTTGCTACAATTTCACAATACTAATGACATAAATAAAATAAAATATAAAATAATAACTAACAAAAATAATTGACGAATATCCACTACCCACCAATTATTCACTTTTAATACTGCCAAAAACATTTGTTTATTTTCTTTCTCTCTCTCTCTTTTGCTGAATGCCAAATATATTAACGCGAGAAATTTTTCGTGCGATAATTTATTACGACATTCGATGCGGATTATCAAGATATGAGTGCATCGATCAATTTACTTTCACATTTGGCGTTGAAGCTCCATCGTTTAGCGCTATGAAACGCTGGTACAATTATTTTAATCAGGGCCGCAGTCTGCTCACTGACGAAATTCGTGATGGTTGTCCGAAATCAGTTGTTGCGCCAGAAAACATTTATGCTGTGCAAAAATTGATAATACAAGACCGTCATGCGACACACTATGAGAGTGATGGAACCGTAGGCATTAGTTCCACCAGCATATATAAAATATTGCACGATCATTTAGCCTTGAGAAAGGTTTATTCTCATTGGATCCCCCATCATTTGACAAAATCTCACTATTTGACTATTTGAATATTCAAAAAATCGAAGTGAAGGGTGATCCGCCACACAGTGCTGATTTGGCACCCAACAACTTTTTCTTTTTCCCAAACGTCAGGAATAAATTGCGTGAACAACGATTTTTGTCGGCGAAAGAGACGGCTGTAGCAATTAAAAACCATGTTTTGGAGGTGTCCGAAAAAGATTGGAAAAAACGCATGCGAAAGTGTATTAATCATAAAAGAGAATACTTTTAGAAATAATAAAGCAATTTTCAACGACAAGTTAATATTTTTTCATCATTAGACTCGTAATACTGCTACAAAATTGTTGAAATATTAATCATAATTTTTATATTTTAACTTTAAATGTAAATTTGTTTCTATCGCAATAACTTAATTATTAATTAAATATGAACAATATACCGAAATTATACCTAAATTTGTATAAAAAATTACAATTTAACTTTTAGCGACAATAAAAACCTAACAAATTTGTCAAAGCGTGTCAGTGCGTGGCATTGCTGCTGATGATAATAAATGGAGGCAGTGCTTAGGCGAAGCTAAAGACTTTAAAATACCGAAATAAATGAGGAAAGTAATTGCGATCATATGTGCATTTAATATGCCAACTAATACATTGTTGCTATGGGATGAATTTAAAACATACTTAATTAAAGACATTGCAAGATATCAATGTAGCGTACAATGGAGCCCTCTTAGAAATTTAAGATATTTTAACTTTTTCAATTAATGCATATAGTCATCGATATATTTTTAAGGAATTTATCAGTCGTCCTAGTTAAAAAAACATACCATTTGGTGGTAATGTCAGACAAATTTTACTTGTTGTTCCATATGGAACACGATCTAATCTGATTGAAGATTCTATAATTAGTTGGAATAAATTATAGTTTTCTTACCATTTTAAGTTAACAAAGAATATAAGAACTACAACTGATAAAGTAGAATTTTTCCAATTTTCAAATAAACTCGGTAACGGCGACTTAGAATGTTATCCTATGTTTGGTGAATATATCATTGAATTGCCATCACAAATAATAAGTAATATTCATGAGAATATATTCTTAAATCTGCAATTTTAGCTTCAATGAATGAAAACCAATGATTACTGGTCATTTTTTAATGATGATATACTTAATCATATTTTAGGGGAGGAAAATATTTATTATTTATTTTGATAAAGTTATATCTGATGTAAATTCGATTCATGTCAATGAATACCCCATTGAATTTTGAAATTCATTAAATGTAAATGTGACATAATGCCACCAATAAACTTAAATTAAAAGTCAAATTCTATTGTGATGGACAGTATTTAAACATAGACATTTATACGAGTATGTAACTACAAGTAGGGTTCGTTTATTCAGCGGACTAAAATTACATGTATCTAATAACAATTGTCAAGGAACTTATGATAAGAACATTATGTTAACAGAGTGTTTATAAAGAATATTGTATGCAAATATTTTTTATCTAAACATTAATTTTATCCCATGAAATCTATTTAAATATTTTACATGAAAAATTAAATATTATGTAAATACATGAAAATATAAATTAATTTTTATATAAAAATATATCTTTCGACACATCAAAGCCGTTAAACATCTTATTAACATTCCAATTAATTATCAAAAATAATTGATTGTAATGCAATATGTAATATATGTAAACGTATTCAGTAAAGATTCAATAATAATGACCATATATACATATAACATATCATCACCATGGAACTGAATTTTACAATATTTGTTTCAAAAAAAAAATAATTTTTTCAAGCATTATTTGATACATTTAATTTAGTAAAAACTTATGAGTTAATTTTTTTCTAATAATACACTAAATAATTTAGTAAATGTGGAAAAAAAAATATTACTATTCAATTGACACATTTTTTACTATATAAATTACGTACCTATACTGAAATTTCCTGGAATGTTCGCTTAAAAACTATGCAAGGAAACATTTTCAGGTTGCGAAGAAGATTGTTAATGCTTTGTTTTAAGAAGGATAAAATATGAAACAATACAAGAAGCATTAAGAACGCCTTTCAAACCCTTTCATAACTTCTAAGGTTAAACCACGCAACGATCATATCTTTTAAAGGTTCAATGCTGGTTGAAGCATTGCACAAAAATTGCATGGGCTCTAGTTTATTTAAAAATACTTTATCTGTTTTTTGTTTTTTTACATAATATCCTGCGTTTTAAAATTAACAAAAATTTATGTTGACTGACTAAAACCGCCATCGAAATAAATTGAAGGACTTTATTTAGATAAATGTATATTTGTGTGTATTTATTATTACTACGTCATGTCTATATAATATAACTTTTTTTAATTGTTGAAATTACAGGAGGTACAAAATTATATTTTTGTGAAATTAAAGGCATCTATCAAAACTGTATTATTATAATATAAACAGTAAAAAATTTAAATACTACATATTCTAATACTGCATATTCCATGGAAACGATAACCAATTTTATGAATTTTTGTATCTAATTTTTACTTTCTGATAAATTATGTTTCCGGTATCATTTTTAATAAAAATTTGAACTTTAAATATCGAATCCAAATTCTAATCCTTGTTGAACACTAGAAAAGTCTTGATGAAATCTATGGTAATCATGGATTTCGATGCACATACATGTTGCTCATCATTTGTTTAGAATAAACCTTTTTTGTCGGTGTTCGCTTAAATGTTAATAAATTTTGATTGTAATCAATGACGGATTGAAACTATGAATTTACAAACTCGGACTACTCGTTGTATTAACTTACTTATTTTACCATATTAGTCATTTTATACACTCTTGTATAAGCATTATTAACATTTAAATTTATCTTAAGGGATTAAACATTATTTTGCGAGTATTTAAAAGTACGTTTCGTGAGATTCAAATTACAACTCATGCGAGCACCCAACAAAGACCCAACTTCCATCATTACACAATTTGATAGCCCACGACGATGTTTGATCTCCTTAATATTTACCCTCTGCGATAGTAGTCGGGTATTAAAAATGGAAGACATACAGAAATAAATTCTACTTGTGTTAAAGTATTAAAACATCTGTAAATATTTCCAATAACAAGATAATGAACTAATAATGAATTTTAAATTAAAAAGATATGCTTCATAAATTAATTCTTAGAAGATAAGAGGTAGCCGTTTAATGCAGGCTTACTAACTCATTAACAACTGTATAGACTTAAGGTTGAAATCGATTCAACAAAATTGGTATTTTAAAATAATTTGCATATGTAATACTATACAAAATTTTATGATTTGTCATGGACAATTATTTCATAAGATTCGCTAAAACTAAAATTTTACCCGTTTCCAATTCATTTTGTAGGCAGACTTCTCAATTGACTAGCAAAAAAGGATTTATCTTATTTTATTTTACTTTGTTTGTCGCTTTGTCTTAAAATGTTAAGGATCATTCAGAGGATTCAAAGAGGATTTAACAGAACATTTTGGTATGAGCCCTGCAGGATTAATATGTCTACCATTTGCAGGCAAATTTGTTGCTTTATGGATGAAATTGTTAATGTCATTATAGCAGGTAACTTTATTATTTAACTATGGCGTTACAGTATACAAACAAACAGCAAGAATACAAGTTTTCTTTAAGTGTAAACAAAACATAAATCGCAAAAACATACTGTATTAGATAATCAAATGCATAATACTTGTTTCGAAGCAAAATACTTTACATCCTTTACATAAAAATATTGAGCTAATTGCAAATACTTAACACGATTACTCATTACTTTCTTTAAGTTATTATAAAATATTTTTGCAGAACTTTAGTGTGACAAATTTATGTAGAGTGTTCTTACTATCATGTGTTTTCCTATATATTTTAATTTTCTATGAATTGAAATAATTTACTTATTCAAATCAAGTGAGAGTTCAACTGGTTTTAAAATTTTTTTTCTTTATAAACCATATAAATATTTATCCATAAAATATTTGGATAGTCTTTGTAGAATGCTGCTAACATCATTCAATCAATATTCAACAATATCAACAATATGTGACAATTATAACTATATATTAACTAATTAACTAATTAATTAACTAATTAACTAATTAATTAATTAACTATTATTAATTTGTGAATTAAATTAGAATTAAAATTTTGCACGAGTTTAATTTTTATTGGCGCTTATTTATTTATGGGTACTTTTTTATGCAAAAATAGTGTCAACAAGTAAACAAACTAAAGACAGAGAGCTTAATATAATTGAATATATAATATAACTTTAAACATTTTTATGTTAGGGTTAATTAAAGTAATATAACAATGAACAGAAATATGAATATTAAACCTAATTCGAAATTCAAAAACCAAGATATCACTATTCTCTCGAAAAAAATTTAACCCAGAACGAACGAGACAATGATTAAAATTTTTAACGAATTTGTGTTTATTATTATATACATTTTATGTGCAATTTTCTATATATATTGAACATTGAAAGTACATACAAAAACAATGTAAAGAAACCCTTTAACAATGGGGTTGTTTATGTGCGATCTTAAAATTATATATTGGAAAATAAATTTCGCATTTTTCTACTTCACTCCAAAATGAGTATATTGTAGAGAGCGAAGTAAAACTCTTTCGTTGCAATTTTTACCCCTTGCGATACTAACATAAAAACGCATTGATTGATTTTGTGACAAACACATTTTACCTGCTGCATTTCTGGTTAGAATATTATATGTAAGGGGACGATTGGTTCAACGGTAAAACATGTGTTCGAAGAAGGGTCGAAATCGGAGGTATATAAGTTGACAGGGGTTGTGTGGACAAATTAGTTAAAGTTGAACCGCATTGCATAAATCATTCTCTATAAAATTCAGAAAAACATAATAAGTACATTCAGTTTTACAAGTCGTGCCAACTTCTGAAATATATTACAATTTAAATTTTACCCTATAAGTAAATGCTAACAAGATGATTCATGATAAAATTGTGTCGGGAAAATTTTTACTTGATCTTAAAACCGGTAAGTATAACATAAATAATTGAATTATTAACACATCTAGTTAATAATATTTTATCATAATTTTTTTGCTCTTACATTATAGATCAGTCTACCATCAACCTACATCATACCACATCGAATTCACAGATTCAGAAATCATCAAGACATATGGATATATATGCTACATATGCATATAAACAACAATTACAAAAACATTTTATTGGAAAATATGAGTCTTTTCATCGAACTTATGGCACAAGTGTAGAAGTTTTGGATTTATCTCGTCATTGTGATTCAGTAGAAACACCGCGAAAAACACCTTCGCCATTCGAACTATCAAGTTCAGGCCATTATATAGGATCGCCTGCTGCCTCTTCTACTAGTTCTAATGACGTTAAAGATATTCAGCAATTCATTGCAGATTCAAGTTTTTCACAATCAAATAAAAACCAACAATCTCATCTAGAATTATATCCCACAGTTTACTATCCAAGGGTAAAAGTAAAGCAGGAGCCATTGAGCATATCTCCACCACTCCAAACTAATACAACAGCACTACCCAGAGAACTTTCAAAGATTGAAGACGTTACTAGTTTATTACCAGTTGCAAGTACAAGCCTACTACATACTTTTGCTTCTGCTGAATCGGTATCTAGTACAAGTAATATGAAACACATTTCTGGTAGTATGACACAAACTTCTGGTAATATGCAACATACTTCTGGTATGTTAAATGACTCTCACTTACCAGTCTCTTCAAGAAATATGCTTTTAAAAAAATCACCTTCTATGCATAATACTACCACATTTACAAGTACGCCATCAGACATCATACATACCACGCTGACAAGGCCATTTAAAACTTTTCCTCGTGATCCGCTTGTTATTGCTGCTAATTTTGCTGCAACTGACATGCTACTCGACAATCCACATGTTGAACGCTACACCGAATATCGAAAACGTGTACTAGAACAAATACGAAGTAAGAATGGTGGTTCTCGTACAATTACAAACCCCAAAATGCGTCGTACTAACTCGCATAATGGTAGTTTTAATGAAGGATCATCCAATAACAGTGAAAACGAAGAACGTGTCGCTGCTGAAGAGTCAAGTGATTGTGATTCGAATGTTGGTAATTGCGAAAAATTAGGTAAAGAACCGAGATGTGATTTTATTGGTAATTCTATATTAGAATATAACAACAATGAAAATTTAAATTCAGCATGTCAGGTTAAAGATGCAGCATACTTTGAAAGGAGGCGAAAAAATAATGCTGCAGCGAAAAAATCTAGAGATCGTCGTCGTATTAAAGAAGATGAGATCGCTATACGTGCTGCTTATTTGGAACGTCAAAATATTGAACTATTATGTCAAATTGATGCACTTAAAACACAACTGGCGTGTTTTACATCAAACGTTGGCTCCTGACTTCCATTAAAGTAGCCTACACCACAAAAACTCAAAAAATGTGTTAAACGCATTGTAAAGCTTATCTGTGACGAAATCAACTATTAAGATATTTATTTTCATACTTTATTCAAACTTTATTGACTTTAGATTGGTAAGGTGTTCTATCACGAGTACATGTAAAGGGACTATTATATATTACATTATTATTGTAATATTTTATCTCAATAGTGTATGTTAACAAATTGCTATGAAATAAATTTTTTCTTAAAATGAAATTTTAGTTTAAAAATAACCGTTAACAAAAAAACCAAACCTAAGACACGACATTTTTTTGAGTTTATTAATTTGTCAAAATTAACTAAATTTAAACTTTCTATTTCGATAGAACATTCAATAATCTTTCATTTGGTATATATTTCATAATTGTATGTTGCATAATAGCTAAGATATTCGAAAAATAAAAAAGAACAAATTTTTGGAAAAAACTGACTTTCTTTTATCTAAAAAATTATTAAAAAACAACCAAACAACCATGTTAAAAATAATACCAAAACTTTTCCAGATCATACATTTGAAAAAAGTAAAAACGCTAAACATTTCACATCATAAAATATAACTTTAAAACGTCAACAAAATATTTTGCATTTATGATAAAAAATAACCGTAATTTACTCTAACTCGTATATCATCATGTCCAATAAAAATATTTCTCCTTTAAAGACAAGCTTTTCAAATAAACAAAATCAAGAAAATCGTTTGTATGTATTCATTTTTTAAAAAATGGTAAATTTTTACCCGAAATCCAATTATTTGAAAAAAATGTGAACCTCCACAGCACAATACACGGAGCAGGGTACAAACTGCCATCTATATTTCAAAACCAAATAAGATGTGGTGTTTGTATTTGCTTATTATGCATTTGTTGCGACTTTCACGGATTGTTTGTATCAGAGAATATATTTTCTTATCTTCTTTGACCAAAAGTATGTTGCATATTACATGCAATAGATAGTCATGCGACTTTCTTTTCGAAAATAATGAATTTAAAAAAAATTATAGTAAAAATCAAAATGCACATGAAAACTTTTAAAGATAATAAAACAAATTTTCAATTGCAAAAAAAATTAGAAAGAACGCATTTGTCTTCGATCCAGAAAATTCAATCATATATGAAAATTATCATTTCCTTTAAAACATTTTTTTGTAAAAAGAAAGGATGAGAAATATTCAAAAATATATTAGAAAACAATTATTTAATAATACCAATGTAATATTGTATTCATATCATATGAATTTCATCAATAATATTGACATTTTTTCAGGTTCGAATTTTATACAATCTAATATCTATTTTTGCAGACTCCGATCGTGATGTCCATATAAAGACGAAAGAGTTTCCTTTCAATACATTAAAATTCAAAAAAATCCTATGTACAGTTTGTTTATAATGATTTTTTAAAAATTTTGCATTTTTTTACCAAAACTCAAATTTTATTGGTTGGTTCTATTTATTAGGCTGGTGTCTTATACGAACACTTATCGGTGTTACAAACCTATTTCTATTGGAAATGTAAGAAATTTTTGCAATTCGTGAAGGCACAGACAAATAATACCAAAGAGTGTATACACATAGAGTGTGCATGTCGAACAAAATATCAGTCACAAAAATTTTGTTCTACTGGTTTTTTAAAAACCCAGGAATTACTCAATATTTGAGTCCTTTTACTAGATGTGTGCAAAGAGACTGCATTTTCATTGATATGTGCACATTATCACACTCAACCGCTCTTTTGGTTATAAATATGCTCTTTTGGATATGAAAACATATGTATATACATTAGGGTGCCATTAATTTTCGAAAGTCGAAAAATTGCTCGCGGCACCCCCCAGATCGGTTCAATTTACTAAAAAAATAATCTGTGTAAAATTTTAGTTCAATGGGATAAGTGGAAATGGTGCCCCAAGAGCCTCAAAGATTGAAAAATAACAATTTTTTCCATAAAATTCATCTTTGATTGCGTATATCTCCGACATATTTAATTTTACATAAAAACTGTCTTTCTAAAAGTTATAGATCTATTTAAAATAAACAATTTACTCATACAAAGTTTTTCTGTATTTCTAATAGTTATTGAATAAAACAAAAAATAAGTTGAAGTCACCCGATTGCTAGCTTTGAAAGTACTATGAATGTAATTGTCCGCTTCAGCTTTACAAAAAATTTGATATTTCTAAAAAATTTAAAATAAATTCAATATTTCCAAAATTTAATCTTTCTAATAATAAAAAAGTACTAATTCTAGGTTTGTCCGACATAATTTTTATTATTTTAGTTAAAGTTGCTGGAGCAAAGTATCCTTATTACCTTCAGTTATTTTTGCGCGATCTATTGATACTCTCCTGACTTCCTTGTCATCACTATCTATATTCAAATTTGAAACCATCTTTTTCTTTGTCTCAGGTGATATATTTAAATCCAAAAAAGCAAAATAAACAAGCTTTGAGCTTAAATACCAAATACAATTTTTTGATATTGACTGAGAATAGAAAGAAGATTAAAATCTTGAAAATGAGCTTTGACTGATGACAAAGCATTAAACCATACTTCAACATACACTTTAGTAATAAATATACATATATCGCAAAGAGCATTTTCTTCTTCTGTAGATAATTTGAACTCTTTCCTAAATAAAAATATTTTTAATACATGCATGATGTATAGCTCGGCTTTTCTCGTAAAAACATTAATG